GGCTCTTGACATTGAGACGTTTTCAAATGCATTTCTAATCTCTATATACATGACTATCACTGGTCACAGTCACCCACCTTCTGAGCTCCTCAGCATCTGAGCATGAATACAAACTTGTCAGATAGACAGCCTTCCTCTCCCACTAGAGCCTCCGATGTCACATTTTTACTATGGACTATACAAATATAGTTATTGAACCCTTAGTTACTGATATTCCTAAGAAAATATTTTTGAACACAGTGTGAGGTCTCTTATTATGTCCTGGACTCTTATTCTTTTTGTGTTTCTTCCTTTAAAACCACAGGCAGCTAACAACTGTCTATAACTCCAGTTCCAGGGGATCCTATGGCTTCTTCTGTCCTCCACAGGCATTGCCCGACATGGGTGCACTTACCTACATGCAGGCATAACATTCATACACAGAAAATAAAAAATAATAAATAAAATATTTTTTAAAATGCTAAATTCAGACTCTTCCTTTATGGAGCTAAAGGCAAAGCAGAATTTTAAGTAATTAATTATGAGTAGTTAAAGCTTATTCTTTTCTGAATTTTCAAAATCATCATAACCACGTAGTTTTCAAATTATAAGTCTATCTTAAAAAGAAAACTAGTTTTAGTAAAAATCAACTTGTAAAATTTAAGTACTATTTTAAATTCATTAAAAATATCAAGTAAATATAAAACCGATTAAGATGGAAGACAGTACAAGGTTTAGTCAGAAAAGATAAATTTTGTTTTTCAATATTTTTTATTCTACTGCTTGCCTCAGCTGAACATTTTCTCGGATACTTCAATATAGAGAGCCTAGAGAAATCATTTAAATCCTGAACGATTGTGCAAACAATATAGATTTGAAATTCACTTAAGTTAGTACCCACAGAATCTGATTCAGCTCAGAACTTGGAATTCTACAAAGATTTGCTTATTTAGGTTAAATAAATTATATACTACTTTCCATAAGCTTAATAAGATGCTTTCAAACCTGTTACAATACTCAAATACACAATTCTCTAAGAGGAAACAGCATTTTTAATAATATAAAATCTTGCATAAAAATTTCAGAAGGGCTGATGGTGCTTAGGCTTTCTTGCTGGGAGTTAACTGCTAAAATCCTACACTATTATTGTCCTAATACTGTAACTGCAGTATTCGCTTGTAACAGCCAGCTTCGTAGGAAAATGTTCACTTAGGCTTTCTTGCTGGGAGTTAAGAGCTAAAATCCTACACTATCATTGTAGCAATACTGTAAGTGCAGGTTTAAAGATGCTAACTTCTTATGAATTCACAGGATTTTTTTCAGAAAATTGTACATAGGATAGAACTAGGTAGAACTGGTAGCTTAAGTTCACTAACATGTTTACTTTTCAAATACTAAGATATTAGAGTTATGTACATAATACACATTGACTTTTTTTGTGGACTGGCTGTTGAACCAGGCCTTGCACATTCTATGACAGTTTTCTTACCACGAAGGTCCATATCCAGCGACATGTTTACTTTCCAACACTCAAATCTAAGTATTGTAAGTTTAAGACTATCTGTATGATTAATCTACACTGAGATTAGAGCAACAGAAGCCTAAAGAGGAAAGGACAACATAACAATTACTAGTGATGATTGTAAAAACCTGTTTACCTTGTAAGTATGATTCCTTTCAGAACATTCATGCAATGAGGGGCCTGGCAGATAGCTTAGTTGGTAAAGTGCTTGTCCTGCAAGCGAGAGGACCTAAATTTAACCCTTAGCACCAGTGTAAAAAGGTGGGCAGATTACTGGAGATCACTGTCAGTCAGCCTAGTCTAATCAATGAAGCCCCTAATGAGAGACCCTTTTTAAAGAAGCAAGGTCTATGGCTCCCGAGGAAGACTATCCAAGGTACACTGACTCCATTTTGTACTCCATTTGAACCCGCCATCCTCAACAAGAACATGCACACAGAAACAAAGGTACATGCCATGAAATTGCTAAGTGTTTATAATGTAAACAAAGCAAGAGTGAAAAATCAAATGAAACTGAGAAGAAGAGCCTTTCCTCGATTAATGTGGAAAAGCAATGGTGTGCTAATAAAACTCATAATCTTTGCTTGACATTTTCCCTCTTAACACACAAATTATTACAGGAAATAAATGTAAAAAGAACTATTTTATTGTTTATTTCAGTAAAAGGCAAAATTAATAAAAATAGCACTTTCAAGATAAAATTATCATGACTTTTCCAATTAAAATAATCTTAAGCCTATTTAGAAATTAAGAAATTATGCAGTGATAGGTAAGAGTTAAAGAAAAAAAAAAAAAAAACCCAAACCCCAAAAGTCTTGGCAACTCATTGGTTTCACTGAATCTAAAAAACAAAAAAAAATCTTCTGAGCTTTGCCGAAAAAGGAGAATCTATACCATCAAATAAATCAGACACCACATAAAATGCTTTACTAAGAAACAGCCCGAATACCAACTGAAAATTATGAGGTGAGCATGACTACTATAATAAAAAGAAAAAATGATGTTTGTTTACATATTAGTTCCCCAAGGTACGTAATGTTGAGTACTCATCACCAGTCAAATGTTACAAAATGTGGAGCATAAAGTTTTCCATATAATTTAAAACAAACACATAAACAGCTAAAAACAAAACAGATATAACACCGCAAAACATTATTTTGCAAATGTTGAATTACTTTTTGGTGGTACTGTGGATGGAACCAGGGCTTTACATGCCAGGCAAGCATTCTAACCCGGGGGCTCTGTTTCCATCCTCCTGCCACTCCAAATTCTCTTGTAACATCCAGCTTCCATGAACGACTTTAAACACTTTATTTTCCTCTAGTACTTACATAAAATATCATACAGTAACATGACAAGGTTAATGTTGTACAACTAATACCTGTAATGTGTTCTTCCTACAATTGACTGTCCTTCTCTCCACTGAGCAGTCACATCAGTGGGATCGAGTGTGCCTTCAAAAATGTGCTCCCAGAGATACAAACCTGATAATTAAAAAAGAAAAAACAGAAACATTTACTGCCTTATCCACTGAAGAATGTTAGAGAGATGTTCTGTTCCTTTCTATATAAACTATGAACCCAGAATTTGCCCCCTGCGGTCTGGTGGCAGGCAGTGCTCCCAAGTAAAAGCTCAGTCATCAATATGGCAGCTAAGTGTATGACAGACCTCAGTGACTAAAGGTATTAAAGTGGGTTATAGTAAAGACAACATCTTTTATTCTACCCTGGGGAACCCCTAATATTACTGAACTCTTCCTGTACAAAATGCATGATATTACAAACTAAATTACCATTGTGATTAGAATTAATTTTATATTATAACCAGAGGGGATATTACCTCCCTATTTGAACAGACATCCTTGAATACATGATACCCTTTAAAGATAAATGACAGTTCATCCTTTTTCCTCAAGACAACCCCTGATGCTTTTTTTATATTGCCTTCATCGGAATCAAAGATTTCAGAGTGGATGAGATCGGCAGTACACAATGAGGTAATATTAATGAGGCGGTACATAACACCTCTGAGAAACTTGCTTTAGTTTTATTGAAAGATGTATTTTGTTCCATTTTTGTTATACCATGCTACTAAAGCCACCCAAGCAAACAGGTTTAAAACATGGACAATCAGAAAATTCTTTTAAATGTGACAGGCTGAATAATCCTCCCCCTTTCCATGTCCACATCTTAGTCTCTAGAATCTGTATATTATCTTACACACTGTCAAAAAAAATTATCTTGGTATCATTAAGTCAAGGATGCCGAGATGAAAAGATTACTGTGGATCAACTGTGATCACCAGGCTCCACAGACTGGGAAGGCAGGAAGATCCGAGTAGGGGAGATGTGAGGATAGGAGCAGGGCTCAGAACCATGTGATCAAGATGGGTAGTATCTATAAACTGTAAAAGGCAGGAGAACATTTCCTCTAGCGCCTCCAAAAGTAGCACAGCCTCTCAGACATTTTAATCTCCCACCTTGAGAAAGGCAGGAAAGCTGTATTGTGTTGAATCACTAAAATTGGTAATAACTTGTTCGGGCAGCTGTGGGAAGCTTTTGGTTATGTGGGCTGATTACGGTACCTGGAAGTGAGGTGCTACCGCAGCAAATACTTTAACATTTGGAAGTGGCTTTGGAATTGGGAAGTAGGGAGGCCAGAAGAATTCTGAGGAGTATGATTTTTTTTTTTAAAAAAGGCTACACTCTACACTTGAGGCTGGAGAGATGGCTCAGCACTTAAGAGCACTGACTGCTCTTGCAGAGGACCCGGGTTCGACTCCCAGCACCCACTTGGTGCTACAAACCTTCCTTAACTCCAGTCCAGGGGAATCGGAAGCCCTCTTCTGACTTCCATGGCATTGCATGACACGGGTGCACTCACATACATACAGGCAATACACTCATAAACATAAAATAATTATAAATATTTTTTAAAAGGCTACATTAGATTGCCTTGAGTAGATGCTAACAATTCAACTAATGAAGACCTAGATGAGAGTAGGGAACATGGTAGAGAAAACTTACATTGTCTTAAGAACACAGAGAACTGTGTTCCACAGGTATATGTCGAGTCGAACTTGGATATGTATCTGAAGAGATTTCTAAGCAAAGGATTAAGGCTGGGATTTTTTTTTTTTTCCTTCTAATTATAGTAATAGAAGAGGAAAGAGGGATTTGGGGAAGACGTGATAAGCAACAAGACAGCAGTAGAATTTGATGATCTTGGGAAGTTCTGGGCTATTCAGATTTTAAGAGAGGTGAAAAAGCACATTACCATCAATAAACCATACTCTAGAGGGAAGACCCAAAAGGTGGTGGTTGTGACTTTTTGCTAGTGCCTCAGAGAGAACATTTACCCACACAAATGGCTTTTGGAAGAGATTATTCATGTGGTTTATGGATCTCCTTAGCCACCTTAATAGATGCTGGAAATAGAGACAGGATTATTCGGGAAAGACATATGGAGGAGTTTCTTGCCTGAAAAAGTGAATTCTGACATGCACAGAAGACACTCAAAGATTTTAAGAATGCTGTGTTAGCAGGAACACTGCCGGCTAAGATCAACGTTGACAGGTTGAAAGGAATGAAGTCCATTTGGATCCCAAAATTCTACCAGCAGGAAACGGGTTGGTAAATGTACTGAGCTGCAAACATGTGCTACTTTTCATAGAAACGGAAAGATGACTCCAAAGGTGGAGCTGAAGGAACAGAAGGCAAAGCTGTAAGCCAGAGATCACTCTGGGTGTGAAAACCTTCTGGAGTTTGCCTCCACTTTGATAGTTGGTAGACCAGGGACTCCTTTTTACATCCGGTTTTTCCTTTTTAAAGGTGATGCCTGTAATTGCTGTCCCATGACTGTCTGGGGTGCAGGCTGATGAAAGGAGTGGTTCACAAACACACGGGCCTATGGTGCTTACTGGACCGAGAAAAGTCTGAAAACATGAAACCCTGTTAAGTTGGAAAATAGAAAAGAGAATGGGAAAGTGGAGACTTAGAGAAAGAAATCAGTAGTT